ATCACGCGGAACCGGAACGACTTCAGTCGACGCTGGCAGCTCACATTAAGCTGCTCGTGGAAAACGGTCTGGGCTGGGAGGAGGCATTGCGGCAGTGGAGTTGCGTGTCTCCCGGCGCAGCTGTCTACTCAGAGCAGGATCTGACGCGGCAGTTAAATTACATCGTCACACAAATCGTCTTCTATCATGACCAACAGGCGGTAGGCAAAGGGACTTGCATGTGTGCGTTTTAATAATTTAATCGGTGTACTTGTTGTGTTTGGTATGTAACTTGTCCTCTGCAATCTCTTTGGTGTTCCATGAAGCTTCATTTTGCCCTAATTAGAATTGGTCTTGCTCATTTTTAATTGTGAGTACTATCCGTTACTCTGAAGTTAGTGAACAGATAACCAATGTTAAAATTCAAATGTTTGTTGCCGTTCTGTTTTCTTAGAGTGTGCTTCGGGATAACGAACGCATGAAGGAGGAGGCCTGTTCCCTGAGGCGCAGGGTAGACAAGAATCGGGAGATCCAAAGTGGATGACTCAGCTGCTCTTTACGCATTTCCTTTTTCTCACCTCCAGGATGCTATTCTCAAGATTTGTGTATTTAGAGAAGTTGCAGGAACTGAACGAAACTTCAGACTCCCGAGAATCCGGATTCTACAAGTTACTTCGAAAGGTGAGCATGTTCTTCTTCTTGGCATTTAGAGGTAGTAATTTTATAAATTTAAAGAAAACAATCAGGGGGTGTGGTGGCTATCGGCAGTACGAGTGTAATCCATGTACGGCTTCTTGAATGTCACGTTTGCGTTTTCATTGGATTTTGCACTTTGTAGTCGTCTAGACAAGACAAATTCTCCCTGTCACGGCTTTGCTTTGATGCGAAAGGCATTCAAATTGCTACAATCGTCTCCTACTTAGAGCTTACTTGCTAAAGTGTTGGCGTTTGCTTCTACTTGACTAAATTATCGACCTGTTTCGTAGTTAATGTCAATTCCAACATCAGTTCAAGAGCCGTCCCTTCCATGTGTAATCAAATCTTGCCGACAATTCGCCCCTCCTAGCTTCGTCCGAACCGCTTAAATTGTACATGCTTCCCGACTCACCATGATAGTAACGGCAAATACTTTCTTAAACAGTGTGTGTATTTTCCGACTTTCCCAGCAAGCGCATCGTGAGCACTCTCGCCGTTACCGAAATACCCATCAGAGGTTCTTCACCCATCCAGTCCATCTGTAAGTTCTCCTTTTCATATATAGCTATAAACTTGATAGCAAGCGTCACCTAACTGCTGAGGAAATGTGTTTTCGGGGCTCGAAAAGTCGCCCTTAACGATGTTGTCAATCAGTTGCCCTCTCTTCTGGTTTTCGTAACCCTAGATTAGGCGCCTGATCTTATACTGAGTTCCCAGTTTGCAGTTATTTTGACATTTCTGAATACAAAACACAAATTGTAGTAAACCGTGTGCGAGCAATGTGCCTAACTTTGTCCTCCACTCTAATAAATCGATCTACTTCTGTCTAGATGCCTTCGACAAAAAATATGCATTCCTCTGGCTGTGGTAACCGAAACACCGGTCCTACTTGCGTGACGACACATTGCACTTTTAATTTTAGAGACAAATGTTACTTTGCTGTGCTTTTGGCGCTGTGCTCGCCAGGAGTAACTGATTACTGGGGTACCATTAAAGGTGCTCTAATTTGATCATCTTTCCAATTTCCAGTGCTTGCATAGTGTTCCACGCATAGTCAGTAGTGCTGGGCGATCGATAGTGTCGCACAGGTTTGGTTGATTTCATCGATTGTCTACCTGCAGTTGAAGAAGACGCCCAAGACACCGATGCAGACGGTTTGGCCTTCACCGACCTCAGTCAGGTCTCCTCCTCCTTGTCCTCCTTCTCTTCCCCACTTCCACCACCACCCAGCCCTCCGCGTGTCCAGGCGCAAAACTCGAAGCCACTTTTGGCCTGTGACCGCTTCAGCACCACCTGTTCCACACGGTTCCAATCCAGCCTCTTCTTCACACATGCCGCGTATGCTCTTTTGACCATTAGTGAAAAGGTTTCTTTGTGTCTCACGACGCTAGTGTACTTTGGAGATTGTTTCTAGGCAACAGCTTTACTGACCGGAGTCGACAGCAGAAGTGTTCTGTTTCCATCGTGGCCAATCATCCCATTTACCGTTCAAACTATTGACAAAACCAGAACCTGAGCTCTGAGGTGTTTCGCGATCAAGTTCATCCACTTCGTGGCTAAGGAGATTTGAACTATATGCCTGTTTAGCCAGCCTTCAGTTGTTCAACAGCCAACCGTCCTGCATTGTCACAGCGAAAACCACAAAGACTCATCGTCTCATCGTCTTCTTAGCTTGTTAGCTGCCATTGGTTATCTCCGCTCACCCACCACAAGCTACTGCTGCCTGCTTATTGTGTGTCCACCAATTTCAAGACTTGCATTTAAAATCTCGAAGCAATTCCTTTGTGCCTTTTTAGTCCCCTTGTCAGGTAAGTGGAAGTCCATTGGGGTATCCGTCTCTGGTAGTCTTGATGGCGTGGAACTTCGGTCCTCTGAGAACTGCAACAATGAAAACAAGCAAAATAGCGCCATTGAGAAAAGACCGGGTATGCTTATAGTCAGTAATATTTGTTGGTTAACCCAATACTTTGGACTTAAGTGGACCTCAAGGTATTCTCTGGGTTCGTGATTGAGCGTGTTAACGTTTGTGCGTTGCAATGCTAGGCGAAGTTATTCCAGCGACCAATCGAAGTAATTCAAGTGGTCATTGAATGGCGGAAATCCACGCACTTGGGGTTTTAAGTGGTTTCAATTTGTGAAACCAACTGCATTTCTAGTGATGGTGCTGGTGGTTCACATGCCAATCACTTTCTACTTCAACGCTGCTCATGCAGAAACGTGATGTCTTTTACTGGGACCCATGGCTGCTGTTCAACTTGTGTCACTGGCAATGCAAAACTAGGCGTAATTCCTGTACAGTCTAGGAGCAGGCATCCAGTGGTGTTTTGCTTTTTGTTTCATGAATTCAATTGCTTTCTTATTATGTTGCCACGTCTGTGGTCGCATTGTACACCGTGGTCTTAACAAAGCCAGATTTGAACGTAGGGTTTGTTGTTGAGTGTCCCAAGTGCTGACCAGTTTCCCAGTCAAGGTGCGTGAACACGCTGTAATGAGGTCCACGCTGGAGCCGCGCAGACGTCCGCTGCTATTTGCGTCTCTTGCATGAGTGTGGTACTGATTTGGATAGGAGCACGTTCCTGGACTGTTGAAGTATGAGAAATTGCGCCATTTTATGTAGTGGCTCGAATGTCAGCAGTGTAGCCCTAGTTGTTGTAGTCTACGTACAAGTTATGTTTGTGTCGTTTTTAGAAGAAGAAGAAGAAATTTTTGCTCGTCTGGCTGAACTTCGGCGGCGCAATGACCTTCTGCCGTTGCATTTACGCACCAACTATCCAGTCGAAACTCAGGTCTGTAATGCCGTCGTGGGTTTGTTGATGAAGTTAGCGCTTCTAGACTTGAATCAATCCTGGAACTAGCGTCTGCTGTTCTTGGTGAGGAAAAGTGTATGTGCGAATGTTTGTCAAGCCGTAAAAGTGTCGGTTGAGAGCCACAAACTGTAGAGAGTTGGGAGTGGTTACGTCGGGTTGAGGTCTGTTGGTGGTGTTCCATGGCACATTGTAGTTTCGGGTTGTTATTTGACTGAGATAGTTTGCTGTCGGATGCAGTCTTGCATTTTCTTAATCTAATTTCTTTTACTACTCACTTGCTATGCAGTCCAAACGAGTTTCTGAGAGCCATGAAGAATGTTCAGAAGGCTCGTGCCGACCAATCACAAGCTGGCGCGATGTCATCATCACCGATGGTGCTTGGAATGACTATTGAAGACTGTAGGATGTAATCCAGGTGGACATCTTGCGTAGTGTATGAATTCATGACAGTGGCAACCTCGTCGTCGTGTCACTTGGTAGTACCACCAAAGCGTTGTATACGGAAGGGAATAAGGTGTGCGGTTCTCATGCCGCTTGTTAACTTGGCGCATTGAAATGTGCCAAAAACTCTGTGTCGGTTTTTAAGTCGAGACTCTCCAAATAAATAAATGCAGGTTAGTTTGGTGTGTTGATTAGTAGTTATTGCGGTTGCTTTGGTGATGCTGGGATGATGTTAGTAAGAATAAAAGTCACACTCTCAAGTCAGTAATGTTAACAGAAGAAGCGCCGTGAGACTATATTAAATGTGTGCGAAAGTGATGAATAAAAGAGATATTTGTCAGCTTAAATTAGTCTCTTGCAGGGTGGATACGGTGTCTACGCGATTTATAGAATCCACAAAATTTGGCGGAGCTTGGGGGGGTAATTAGTTATTGTTCATTAGTGGTATTGGCTTGGTGGAATCAATGGTGCAGCCTACTGAATGATAAACAACAAAGATGTAATATTTGCAAAAGTTTGGTCTTTTTTTGGCAGCCGCGTGGTCGAATTGACAACTTTTACTAGCGATGATAAGTTTTGAGGCGTACCTACATGGTGCAGTGATATCTTGTAAGCAGTAACAATGTACTGACTTGATTGAACGGCATTAAAGTGTACGAGCTCTTCGTGAAAGTAGAATCGCGCAACGAATGCCATGTGCTGAAGACAGGAGCTGTGTTACAGCCCTGCAATGGTTAGGCAACTTACAAGAGATGCGTGACGAGTAGGGTATGCTTTTATTTGAGTGGATAGAAGAGTGAAGGCGAGTTAGCCAAATGCGAATTGTATTTAATTTTTACTTAGTCTATCACCTCCACAAATTTAGATGTTCATGACATAGCAAGTGACAATTCGTCCTTTGACCATAGAGGATGCTGAGAGAGCTGTACTGACGGTATGGTGCATGACATGATGAGTGTGCTGACAGGGTTCCTGGGCGACTTTGACAATTTACGAGAACTCCCTTAAGAGTGAGGTGTTTGTGGCTGTTAGATATAGACAATGCGAATTAGTGTCCAATCGATTGTATTTAAATGGAAACGTCCCGGAGAGATTCAGGTGCAGGGAGTGAAATTACCCAAAAATGTGGTGTCTGGGACACCTTGCTCGTGATTTGTCTGAGTCTTTACCCTTGGTTATCACTAGGTTTAGTAACATGCCCCCCCCTTCCTTGGCCATCATACTCGCACATTTAAGACGCGCGTACTTCCACACATTAGAGCAAGACATTACCGCACACAAAGAGCACACGCATGATTGCAAGTTGCATTCCCTGGGTTTAGGCCTAAAACCTCTACCCCCTACTTCCACAGTAGCTAAAGGTCAGCGTGCAATAGCTGCTGCCGATTAAGCACTCTCCTACACAATTCCAGATAACAGTCCGTAGTGGTTTGATAGCACAACCTTACAAAAGTCTGCTTAACAGGCCTTAAAATGCGAGGAATGAGAGACAAGACAGAGGCTGCGACTAGGACAGTCTATTAGCGTCGTGCCAACCAAGTTTGTCTTTGTGTAAGGATGAGTGAATTGGTCAGTGACAGGCGACAGATAACAGAGGATTGACGCGTTAGTCCATCGACATTGGTCAGCTTCGGCTTTCATTTGTCCGTGTGAACGTTCCACCATGCCACTTGATTGAGATTGGTGGCGATTGTTTGAATGCTGTTCGTCCCCAGGAGCCGCGTGAGATTATGGAACACGTTGAATTCAATCGGCGTTCCACGGTCTGTGCTGATGGTGGAGGGACATGTAAAAAAGGTAATCCATCTGTAAATTGACTGAGCATTTAGACTGAAGTCATTGGCTGCAAATAATGCAATAGGATGAATCAAGAGGCACAAGTACTCATCCATGCAGCAAAAACCGTTTGTAAATTGTGAGGAGCCTGATGGCAAACGAATGCCTAGCAGAATAAGACATGTCAGCTTAATAACGAACTGTCTATCGGCTATTCCAAAAGACTAAGCAGTTAGCGTGGTTATTAGTCAGTGCAAAACATTTCAGTCTCATCTAAATTCGCCCTTCGTTAATATAACTCTACCGTTTGACAAACCACTATTGCCATATGCAGTAGATTCCTAAGTTTCATTAATTTTAGATAATGCTAGTCAGAATTGACTTTGTCGCTTGGATCAGTGGAACAACACGCCGACACTGGACCAGTCAAATAAATGTTCTGTGTCTTGGACATTTGACAATGATCAAGGAGTAGGCTCATAGTACGTAGATGCATTGAAAGGAAATGCAACGACGAGTGTGCAGATGTTCGGCATGTTGGCTTTTATTCTGAATTGTTGGCAAGCGCCAGTGATCTGGCAGCTTGGAGGCCTGCCATACAACTCAGTGAATCCGATTTAAATCAGTCCTAATATTCGAAAGTGTGATTGATCGGTCCAACTTCGGCGACTCGAAAAAGAAATAACTTATGAAATCAGACTTGAATGCAGATTAGCGAGATCTGGAATAATAATCTGAAAGTAAAACGCAATGACGAAGCAGAAAGTTGGCGATGTCACAAACAAAGTCGACAGTTAATTCCACTAAGACAATGGCACTGATGATATTTAACTCATTTCAATTGGCAAACTTCACCTTTTTTTAAAAATTACCAACACACCGCGATAAGCTACATAGCATTCTTCCCTCATTACTACATTAACACCACCACCTCCTGAACTTGCGATAATCAGTAGCACAATCAAGACCCCATGTGCAATAGCCTTTGCATCAACAACATCACTGGTCATCAACTAACTGCCACCACGTCCCGCTATCTTGCCCGTCACCAGCTACACGCTCCTCATTGCGTGCCATAACCAACTTTGCGCCAACTGCTTTTATAGGTCGATCGAGAGCGCCACCATGCCAGACATTTACACCCTACTCACCATTCAGTCAACAGCAATTGCACACAAAAAAACTACTAACGCTGCCTACTTGGGTCTAATTCATGTCAACTACGTGATGTACACGACGTTGAAAAAACAGCAGCAAGCACGAACTTGGCTCACACTTCTCATCCCCATCACACGTTTGCCCGTAACCAAGAGAAACCTCTCACATAACGGTTCTAGATCTCCTGTTGACGCCAAAACTGAACTTCCCACGCCAGTGCAAGCACCACACCACAGCTCGTGCAGAGAGTGTCAATCGCGTCACCTAAAGTGCCAGTGATCTGCCACAATGCCAGCATTTATGCGAGTCAGGGGTGCCATTGACCTGATGGATAAAAGCGGATTAACACAGATAAGGCCGTCAGTAGAATGCCGCGGGTGACTGCTCATCCACTCATGTGGCGTGGTTAGGGGATCAGCGTAAACAATGACAAAAACCGGCGAAAGTCATCCTATGGGAATCCCGAATCCCGAAAACCCCATTAAAGTGACACCTACATTCATGGGCAAGTTAACCAATTCGTGCATCATGCAACATTGCCTCCTTGCTACTTCAACACCATCACCACCTACGCTACCTGATTGCTGATTAGTGTACAGAATGGAAAACAAACTGCAAAATGTCATCTGAGGCCAATCCGAATCCCTTAATCGCGTGAGCTCAAGTGCGACTTAACCTCCCTGAATGCCGACACTTATATCAGAAAGGTGTGACTGTGACATGGCAAACAAAAGCAGGATTAACAAGGATTAGGTTGTCATCAGGATGACGTGGCTGACTCACCCACCGATGTGGCACGGTTAGGGGAATAATGCAAAAAATGAAGGAAACTGCCAAAAGTGGTTCACGGCATGCTAAACTACTTTTATTCACCAGTTAATCTAACCAATTCACTTAAGCGAACTTTAAAACTTTCAATGCAACATAATTTGGCAAATCGACGTACTTATCTACAACCATTCCATTTCAGCGTGTGATCTAGAAGGAGAGACAGTTTATTCACGAACCGTAGAAACAACATGATTCCGGCAGACATACAGAACAGAAAGCGGAATAAGTCTGGGAACTTCCAGAAGGATTTGTCCGACGAACGTTATAAGGCGATTAGAAAGGGGAGAAGGAGTCAACTTGTTGAAGTATTTCAGAGGAGACGTTGGAATCCAAATCCTACTCATTGGGCAGGTCTAAAAGAGAAGGAATATAAGAAGAGGTTACCAGGCATGGAAGTTTATCAATGGCATGAGAAGTGGCGTGTGTGACAGAGCCACTACAGTCTTCAACAGTCATTCCAAGCACCATCGGTGGCATTGATGCTGTAGAAGAAGAAGAAAAAGAAGACGAAGAGGAAGAAAAGAAATACAATCCAATTGCGGATAAGCAAAAGAAATAA